AGGTGCCCTTCTAAGCTTTTAAGTCACTGTTGTCAACCTGATCCTATATAGACATCTTAAAAGAACACAGTGTTCAAGGCAGTGAAGCTAAACTACTGCTTGGTTTAAAGAAGATTTCAGGGGACTATTTTTGGCTTAAGGTTTAAAGATGAGTTCAAGGCAATAATTTCAGTAGTTGTTCTAACCTTTATGGCTCCAGGAAGAATGCAGTCCATTAGAATTTGAAATTCTGTTCTGCATTTTCCCCCTTTTGATGAGGATTCTTCAATGGAGTCTTTGGTGAAATTTATCAGTAATGGTAGCCCACTCAATGTTTATTTATTCAGCACCACTGTGGGCACCACGTTTCTGGCATAGAAAACCATATGATTGTCTGATTCAAAATGGCCAATACCAACCCATTTCAGCTCACTAATGCCTAGGATAATGGTCTTTATGTGTTCTATTTCATTTTTGACAACTTACAATTTTTCTAAATGCATACTTTGTACATTCCACATCCTAATCACTAATGACTGTTTGTAGGTGTTTCTTCATGTTTTCACTTGTGCAAATGAAGGTCCCAAAAGTTTCGCTGCATTCATATCATTATCGTCAACTCTATTTTGAAAAGGCAGCTCTTTCCGGGTCACATCTTGAAGGCTCATCTTCCGGCACTCTGATAAAATTCTGCTGCTTTTTCATAAAGTTTTCAGTGGCTACACATTCAGAAGTGGTCCGCCTCTCCTTCTTCCTAGTCTGTCCTAGTCTGGAAGCTCTGCTGAAACCTGTCCACTAAGAGTGACCTTGCTGGTATCTAAAATACTGGTGGAGTAGCTTCCAGCATCACAACAACATGCAGGCCACCACAGTATGATAAACTAATAGAGGAACCTGTACATATTCCAAGAGGCAGTTAATACAACAGAAGAAGGGTACACTGAATGGTTTAAAATCAGAAAAGCTGTGCCACAGGATTGTACTCTTTCACCATACTTATTCAATCTGCATGCTGAGCTCATAATCTGAGAAGATGGATTATATGAAGAAAAAAGTGGCATCAGGATTGGAGGAAGACTCATTAACAACCTGCAATATGCAGGTGGTACAACCTTGCTTGCTGGAAGACAAGAGGACTTAAGATATTTACTGATGAAGAGCAAAGAGTACAGCCTTCAGTATGGATTGCATCTCAATGTAAAGAAAACAAGTATCTGTTCTGGGCCAATAAATACCATCATGGTAAAGGGAGAAAAGATTGAAGTTGCCAAAGACATCATTTTGTTTGGATCCACATTCAACACACATGGAAGCAGCAGCCAAGATTTAACAGCTCAAGCTCACCAGTTGCTACTTGGAAACCCTATACAGGGTCACTATGAGTTGGAACCAACTCAACCGCACTCAACAACAACAACCAAGGTTCTTGAGGCATCTCTGGGTGGACTCAAACCCTCATCTTTTTAGTTATCAGTGAGCTCTTGAACCATTTGCACCCCCTGGAATCCACTGTCGAACTCACTGGAATGTCTCAAAGCCCAAAGCCATTGTGTATAATAGAACTCATCCTTCTTAGAATGCAATTGTGATTTCAAATAATTACCTCCCTCCTCAGCTACTCCAACACATACACACAAGTTTAGGGCTTTAGTCTTATAATGTACATATTATATTGATTTTTTTCTTCCACTTTGTTGTTATTCTTAAGTGCTGTCGAGTCGGTTCCGACTCATAGTGACCCTGTATAGGGTTTCCAAGAAGCAGCTGGTGAGTTTGAACTGCTGACCTTACAGTTCAAACCGACCTTGAGGTCCAATGCTTATCCTACAGCACTACACCAGGACTCCTTAACAATGTCCAAATCTTTGTTGATTGGCAACTTGGGCTTCCTTCCAATAGACGTAGATCCTACTTTGTTCATTTTTAACAGAATGTATTAAAAACATTTTTAGTTCACGATTGATTAACATTTAAATTATAATTTTCTGCTACCACAAAGATCACTACAATGAACAGAGACTTGGACAAATATAACAGGGATATTTGCTCTGCTACTTACTAAAACATATTACAAATCTATAATCATCAAACTGGTGAAGCATTGCAGAAAGAAAAAACAATCTACTAAAATTGAAAGACTAGAAAACTGACTAACTGTATACAAGAACTCTGGATCATAAAAGTGGCATTAAAACACGTGGACAAAGAGTGAATGATTCAACTAATGATACAGGGGCAAACAACTCTTTGTTCAGGAAATACATAAAGCCAAATCTCCTTTTCACAAATTTCAACAAAAGAAATTCCAAAACAATAAACAATTTAAATGAAAACAGTTTGAAACACAAAAATAAGGTGATACAAAGTACATTAATACAGTTCTGAAGTAGGCAGGACTTTGAAATTTCAACATCAAAAGTGGAGCCATCCACTGATTTTCATAAAAATATATAACTTGCACACACCTCAAAAGCTCATATACAAAATTAGAAGACAAACCCCAAATTAGGAGGAAACATTTACATCACACCTGAAATCATTTGAAAACTGAATTGGAGAAAAGATCAACAGCCAACAGAAAAAATGCCTGAACAGACTCAGCCTTTCACTCCCACCCCCAAACCCCTATGCCTAAGAAACACGAAAATATGTGCAAATCTGAGAGTTATCAAATGATGCAAACGAAAACAATTTAATGCCATGTTTGTATATCAGAAAGACAAAGATGTATGAGGACAATCATTCCCAGTAGTGGCCCCATAAGAGAGAGACCAACAACTTCATATGCACCCCAAGTAGGAACCTAAGTTAGACAGTATTTCTGGAAGGAGGACTGATGGTCAGTTTGGACTCAGAGCCCTAAAATGTGCATGCCCTTTGGTCAAGTTCCTTTTCAACTTGAGGGATTTCCCAGCTCTTCTAGGTAATCGTGGGACTGTGCCTCCCCTCCCTCTCCTATTTCCCCAGGTCCCTTTAGTCTGAGAGTGAGAAGGAGACCAGCCATTGATCACATTTTACAGACATGTGACTTCTCGCTGTTTGCTGGAGTCCCCTGAGGGTCCCTGGTCACCTCTGTGAGAACCATGGGAAATCCCCAAGGGCTGGCAAACAACTCCCCATGTTCTCCCTCTGCGCCACTGCCTTACTTAATTTGGTGCTTTTCCACCCTGTGTGGGGCTGACAGTGTGTGACAGATCACGTCCAGCTCCCCCACCTGTCCCCCCGCAGAATCTGGTCACATGGGTTAGTACCTGCCTAGGACAGGTAGATGACACAAGTCCTCAAATAGCCAGACATGTCCCAATCTCAGAATAGACTCAGTTGAGACATAACTAATCATTCATCAATACAGGGATGAATTATTAGCAAAAGCAAGGAAACCCGGTTCAAAAAACTAAAGTAGGGAAGGTAGAATGAGTTTTGTATGGGAAACTCTCATCATCTGTTGTTAGTTGCTGTAGGATTAGTTCTGACTCATGGAGACCCCTGTGTGCTGAGAAGACTCCTCCAGAGGTTTCAAGACTGTGACCCTTCAGAAGCAGATCACCAGGCCTTTCTTAGGAGGCACTTGTGGGTGGGTTCAAACTGCCAACCTATTGGCTTGTAGTGGAGTGTGCCATCAGGAACTCCTCTCTAATAATCTAGGATCTAAAAATGAGATGATTTGAAAGAAACATGTGACAGTGTGTTTGTGTATGTGTGTCTGTGTGTGAAAGAGAGACAGAGGGAGAGAGGGAAGGAAGAAGAAAGAAATGATGAGCTAGAATTCAAGTGGGAGAAAGAGGGCTCATTTTTCCAGGTCCCCATCTATTTCAGCACAGAAGCTTTTCTTTGGCTTTGCAGAACGACTGGGAAGAGATAAGGGAGGGCAGGACACCCTGTCTGCCCATGCTCTCTATGTAGCCTGGGGTCTCAACGCACCTCCCGGGGGGGCATCAATAGATAGTCCTGCTGCTTCATGGCTTTAAAAAGCTGAACAGCTGGCACCTGGGGCATAGCTGGGCCCACAGGCTTCTTGGCTGGGAGCACCTGATCTATGCCCCCCTTCTCAGAATGGGGACTGGGAGAAGAGGGCTTGCTCCGGGGTGAGAGTGGACCAGGACCTACACCAGGGAGAAAGCAGTAATCACCCACTTGATGTAGGACGAGAAGTCCCTCAGGGTGGGGAGACACAGGGAGTTCATGTGTCTGGGGCGCTCCTACACTCAGGATTGGGCTACTGGGTACAGGAAAGGTGGGACTGCCAAAGGGGGACTTGGGGGACTGACTCATGGTTGGAGGGAGCCCCACATAACCCTCAAATCCTGACTGCTGGGGGCTTGGGGCTCCAGGGGCTTCACTGGCCAGTCCAGGACAGAAGCTGGTGTTCTCGTGGGAGGAGAGGTCCAGAGGGGGGACCAAGGAGACAGATGAGGCCTCTGGGGGTGTGGTGAAAACCAGGTCTGAAGTGGTAACATAACCAGAGGTCCTGACATGGTCCTCAGGGTCACCTGCATCAGTGGGTGGAGCCACTGGGCTGTCCTTTGTGCCACATGCACCCACCGTGGGCCCAGGTAGAGGAAGGACAGGGCCTTCTCCCTCAGACCCTGAGCTGGGCCCCAAATCCACACCTATGGCCTGGCTTTGCTTCATGGCCTGGGCCAGAGGGACCAGCTGCACCTGTCCCCCCTCAGGCAGGCACAGGTACTCCAGAGACCCTGCTGGTGGTGGCTTCCCCATCCTGTCCATGGTGGGAGATGCCAGCTGGCCCCAGATGTCAGGCAGGGAGCAGCTGTGGGGTGACCCGAGATAAGGGCCATTGAAGTCGAAGCCAGAAGTCTGGCTTTCAGGCCTGGCTGAAGGGGCAGACAGGCTGGGCAAGGGGTCAGGGGTCTGCTTCTTGGTCTTCCAGGCAGTTTGAGTGCTGTCAGGTGCAGATAGTGAGTCGCAGGCTTTTTGGGGGTTCTCTGTGGTGAGAGGTGACACTTCACTGTCCCCACAGTATATAGGATACGCCCTGTCAGGAGAAGAGAGACAGGAACTTGGATGATCCTCAGCAGATGCTTCAAGTGAAGGGGAGGTGATTCTGGATAGAGTCTCCCTCTTCTGCTTAATGGCATCCCATCCCCCCCTACAGGTTCCACATTCACAAACAGAGGGGAAACTGAGGCCCAGAGAAGGGATGGGTGTGTCTAAGGCCCCATAGGGGGTCAGAGACAGAGCAGGGACTGAAGGACAGCATGAAGTCACTTCCGCCTTCCTTTCCATGCACTTTCCTGAGCCAGGACAGTGGAGTGCTAGTTATACAGGACCCTCTCCCACCTCATGGGCCTGGAAGGCTGTGCTGTGGACCCTCACCAGGCAGCAAGGTGGGAGATGCATCTGCTCCACTGTCTGCCCCTTTGCTAAAATGCATCTCGGGACGTTCTTCCTGGTGTCTAATTGGAGTCTGTCCTGCTTCAGCATAAACCAGTCTTCTCGTGATCACTTCACATTGAGTCAAACCAGAAGCTTTGTCATCTGAGTCCCTGATGTGTACAACAGGGTCTCCCACTGCTCCCCAAGAAGACAGGAGCACTATGGAACCCAGATACTCACCCCTCTGGCTTAAGTAGATGGCTGCCGCATGGTTCCTTGGGTAAGAGACTGTCGCTGTTGAAGACTGGTGTGTTGTCTGGGAGCTGGAGCCCTGCACTCCCATTCTGGGAAGAGAAAGGGCTGGTCAGTCTGTGAGTCAGGCTCAGGACAGAGGGGGCTGCGGTGGGCAGACAGAGACAGCAGTGAGTCTATTGGCGGGGGTGAGGGAGTGCAGGTGTCTCAGTCTACTGGGGACCAGCCTGCCTGTAAGGAATCAGGAAAGTGTAACTGAGGTGAGAGCTGTGGTCCCCACGCTCAGTCCTCCTGATTCTCCTCATATTGACCGTAAGATCCCTCTGTGTGCACAGTAGCCCTTCCTGTGCTGACTAGAGGACTCTCTGACTGTGTGCTGGCTTCACCCCCGGTCATCTTGGTCCCCATGGTCCAGCCCAACCTCATTGCTCCCCAAACCCCCAGGGCCTTGTGAAGGTCTTGTGTCAGGCCCGCCACCTGCAGTGACTCTCCACCTTTCCTACCTGGCACCACCTGACCCTTCAGAACCCCCATGATTTCCTGAGCCTGCCACCACCACCCCCTCCTTGGAGCACATCTTCAGCAGTGACGATGGAGCCCCTGTCCTGCCCTCCACCCCCAAAATGTCCACAGGAAGGAAGGGGACAGAGAACCCCTGAACCTTCCCCGCCATACCTACCTTGAACAGGTGGCTCTTGCTGGGGTTGGGGATTTTCTCCTTCCACTTCTGGTTTAGCCTGGAAAGACACCAGGGAGGGCAGCTACGAGAGACCTCAGGGCCAGCTGGTCCCATATTCACAGACAGATGGGGAACTGAGGCCCAGAGATGGGGTGGGTGTGTCTAAGGTCCCATAGGGGGACAGAGACAGAGCAGGGATTGAGGGGCTCAGATTGGGCAACTGCCTGGGTGGTCTGGATTTTAGGTATGCCCACACAGCCCACCAGCCCATGGAGATCCTACCTGTACCCATAGATGCAGCAGAAACGGAGAGCAGGGAGCAAGACCAGGGTGATCACAACCAGGATGAGCGCTAGGACCCACATGGGCAGCACTTCTGGGCACAGGGGGGAAAAAGGTGTTAGCATCCAGTTGGGAAACACTGGGGGCTCAGGAGGGAGAGGGCCAGGTGCTCCCCCTGACCCTGCCCTGCACAGACTGGGACTGCCGAAGTTCAGTCCCAGGGCCCAGTGAGGAGCAGACACATGCTAACAAGTGGGGGCACTGCTCTGAACCCCCACAATGATCTAAGTGCTGGAAAGATAGGGGAGTTAGAGTCTTTCCAGGGGACAGTGATGCAACCAAGGCAATCATGGGAGACTTCCTGAAGGAGGCAGCATTCTTGTGGTCTCAAGGAGCAGGGAGGTTTGGAGAGGCAGAGGTGGGGAAAGGCCAGCAGGCAGAGGAGCCAGCCATGTGCTAAGGCCTGTCAGAAGCCCCCTGAGACTTCCTGCTGTGCTGGAAGCCGTTCTGCTTCTGCCGTTTGACACAGTCCTGGCAAAAGGAGAAACATCATGCACAGACATGATTCTCTGGAGGGGCATCCTCTATCTTCCCTTTAGGATAACTCTGAATTCACTTGTAAAAGTATATGATATTGCCATATTCACGGATTTTACTATGAGCTCTGCAGACCTTAGGAAGAAACCGGTCTGGCAACAATTGTTTCAGCTTCATTGGGTTAGATTCAAAGAAGATTGTATGAGCTACTCCCTTTCACAGAAAACCTGAGTACAAAGCAGCTGCATTTATGAGATCACAAAAGCAAATAACAAACTAAAGTAAAGCTG